CTTGTCGGAGTGACCGGTCAAGATTAAGAAGATATAGAAATGGCGTTCCAATGACGTTAGCACCATCTTGCCAAGTTTGACAGGGTTTGCTTCACAATCACGTCTCACCCTGCAAGTTCTGTAATTTTGCGTCAGGTACCTTGCAAATTCCTGTCAAGCAACTAAATGGTACTGGCGCCATTGCAACAATATTTCTCCCTTTTTTCCAAACCTTGACCGGTCATCAGGTAGCTTGACGTGCGGTAACAAGGCTTACAGAGTTATGACAAGTTTGTCCTGTATTCACAGGTATACAGTTTGCAGGATTCTTATGCTGAGAAGCGCTTACAGCTGTGCCCCCCAAGTTATTAGCGCCCACTGTTTCACTAATTTTAAGCTGCAGTAGTTTTTTATCATGAGAGCGCTCCCACTCCCACAGCAATGATTTGTGCTACGAACCGAACATTACGATGTCGATCCGATCTGATGAGTGATGATGAGCGCAATCTGTTATGTCCTCCTCGCTTATCATGATTCAAGAAGTCGTTGCGCTACGTGAACATAAGAACTATTTCTAATGAGTCTCCGTAGTGCGCCTCCATGCTGCGCACGCGCGCCGATGAGAAGAAAATGCCCCGACATACAAGTAATGATTAATGTGAGAGGCCCGTCAGCGAGCCAATTTCAAGGCCAGCCTTTTCCCATCAGTTCTAAGAAATCGCGACTATTAACTAGCTTGCGCTCCATTTCGTACGGGACCAACGCCATATTGACGTGGATTTATTTCTAGACGGGCACGATTCGTACAGAGTTGGACAGCGAATCGCAAGCGTGCTATGCATTAGCATTATCACAAGATCATAAACTGTTATTTGCGTGCTGTGCTGACGGAAATATTGTGGTATGGGATATCGAATCCAAAACCAAGGTATGGTTAGGCTATCCGATCAGATCATCAAAACAGAATTCATATATATTGATTTTTTGCAGGTCACCTCGCTTCCTGGACACCAAGAGGGAGCGTCATGCATTGATCTCTCATCAGATGGCTCCAAATTATGGACCGGGGGTCTTGATAATACCGTACGCACATGGGATCTTCGGGAACGACGGCAACTGAGTGTAAGTCTATGTCTCGCATAATTTTTTGAAAGGAGTTCAGCTGTCGGCAGGGTGTTCCCCACTGAGCGAGCAGCTGTTTGTGGAATTTCTAGAAAATATAGAAATGGATTTTCTCAACTGTACATTTAGGAGTTCCTTTGGGATCAGGGCACGTCCAACCGCTGGAGGATTCTTTTTGCAAAATACTACCCGCCTACTACCCCTCTCGCCTTCCGCATCCAACGAGCCATATTCCTCAATTCTACCATGTCCTACCACTTTCTCCGAAATTTTGCGGGAATCCTCCAGTTTTTTTTAAAATTGGCCTCGAGCGGGTATATATAGCCCACTTAAAACAGGAAAAAACGGAGAAAAGTCAAATAAATACACCCTTTCCAAAGGCAAATACGACCTCCTCTACCGTCCAAATATGACCCCCTCGCTAGGGATCTCCAACTTACGACGTGCTCTGTCTAGGATAGTCCGGACAGGGTATAGCATCATTGGGAGGATCCCATCAGAGGTCGTTCTTGGTCGCTAGCGAGGGGGGGGGGAGGTCGTATTTGATTTTGTGGAAAATTTTCCGG